ACCATCATTTTTTTTTATTCTTGACATGCTTGCAAAGAGCTTGTTCAGTAGATGTGTACTTAGTGCCGCTGAAGTGAAGTGAATCGAATCATTGTTGATCATAGCTTGTATACATTGGCTTTTTCAGATTTGGTTTTTTTCCTGTGCCTGACTTTCTCACCCTGAAATGAAATGCCAGGGTATAGGAAGCTCAGCTGTTGTTTTTTCTGACTTTGTTTCAAGCTGTGTTAGGGAATGATTCTCTTTTGCCTGTTCGGTAAATCAAATATCACTTGCATTATACTTAAAGCTTACCAACACAAGAGTAAGCTAGGCATTTACCTCTGAAGACTGATAGTTTTACTTCAAAAGTACAGTTTTACAGAGACTTGGTTCTTGATTTGCTTTAACTGGAGTCAAAGGTAGGGTGATTTTTAGCTCTTGTGTTGCTTCAGGATTGTGTACACACAACTTCCAGCATAAGAGCTGCTGCATGTTCCTGAATAGTTGGTGCCCCTTCCTTTTTGAAGCTTCTACAAGTGTGTGATTGTCCATATTCTTTGTTGCAAATCTATGTGCAATAAAATTGTATGGTACTATAAATATTGGATACACGAGAAACCGCTTGTGTAAAGGATACTAGAAAGCAGATGACATTCTGAAGGGGCTAATTTTGTTAACATGGAGAACCTGCCAACTAGGCAGATTATGTAGCTAACCCATAATTCTTAGCTATGCCTTCCTTCTTTCTCCTGCTTCCCCCTCCAAACCATCCACTAAACCCAGATAATGTTTCTGTAATAAAAATAAATAAATACATATTGGTATATGTCTGAGCTGACACAAAATTAGTGGTTGATAAGCTTTGACACTAATTAAGTTGATAATGCAAGTGGTATATGGGGATGGTGAGTTAATCCTTTGTTTATGGCATCCATGGTTTATTAAGGCCTTCAGCCAATAGAAAGTGTCAAATATCTGTCCCCTCTTTTTTTCTTCTGTGTTGACCACTTATAATATTTTGGTATTTGTTGCTCTTAGTTTCTTTTCAATACATGAATAGTCTTTTTCCAATAACTTGCACAGTATCTGTTTTTTAAACCCCATATGCATTATTACTTCTGCATTGTTTGTCTTCAGTAACTTTTTTTCTGAAAAATGGGTCTCAAAGCCATTGCTTTCAAATTTCAGAATAGCGTTGTACAAAACGCTAATGTAATACTAAATGTAATACTCCCAAAGAAAACTGTTCAGGTGAGAAAAAATGATTTGCAAATTAAGAATGTCTGGAAATAGAGGGAAGGATGATAGGGAAAATTCAGTCTAATTTGTTTTAATTTAATTTTAAATCTGAAAAATTTGGATCATCAGAATTCACAAAACCTGCAAGGGTAAATCATATAGCACCAAGGGGGAGGTGTCCTCCTCACTCAGCTTCATGTTGAAACTCCCTTTGGAGCAAGTTTCAAAATAGGCTGGCCCAGCACAAGATTAAATGTGAGAACAGAAAGTGAAAAACAGTTTTTGAAGGGTGGGGGGTCTTTAAGCTGCTGAGAATGTCTGACTGAGACAGAGAGAGAGAAATAAAATATGGCCTCTTAGAGCACAGCCTGTAGATATGTGTATACAAGTCAGGACGTGTTGATCAAAGCTCATGCCTCTCTGAACCATTAATCTTTAAGAAGCCATCTTGCCCTAACTTCTGCCTAGGGTGGCTACTGACACATCCCCAGAATACAGGGCATGCCCTTGATGAGGGGCAGGCCCCCTCGTCTAATCAGCAGTGAGGGGTGGGGCCACAGGCCCCTTGGCCATTCAGCAGCCAGGAGCGGAGCCACCACCTCCCTTCCTCCCTATCTGGCTTGGAGCCCCTCTCCTGGCTGTGCACCACCTTACCTCTAGGCACAGCCAATAGAATCATGACGACAAATGACTGACATTCATTTCCAACAAACTGAAAAACAGGACTTTTTGCTGTCCATTCTTCGGTCAGAAATGGACAGGGGGCAAAAGGTTTAAAAACAGGACTGTCTGATTATAAAACAGCCAACAGCCACCCTACTTCTGCCTGACATTAGGCTAACATAACTAACAACCTCTTTCTCGCTATAACCTGCTTAGTGTAGGTGCTGGTGTCGGGCTAGCCAAGGCAATGCATGTTTCTGTGCATTCTGTACTGCAGTCCTGCCTGCCCACTGGCTGCTACTCCCTCCACTTGCCGCCATTTCCCCACCTTCCTGCTGCTGCCGCTGACGCTTCTTCCCCCCCCCACCGCTCTGGCAGCGTGTGGTTCCCAGCTGCATGGCAGGGACTGCAGACCACAGCAGGAGCCAGCCTGGCCCCTGTGGAATGGGGAGATTGTTGGTGGTCCTCCCCTCCCTGCTGTTGTTATTTGGCTGCACTCTGGGGTGGAGGGAGGCAGGAAAGAGCCCCAGGGTCGCTAGGCCAGAAGCCTTTGCTAGAGGGTGGGGTGGAGCTAGTCAGGCCTTGCTGCTGCTCCTCCTGGGTCATGTTTCTGGCGCCTCCTGGTTCCTGCCACTGCTGGTGCCTCGTCAGCTTTGCCAGGGAGCCATGGACAAATAATAATTAATTTTATAAATTTTTAGGGGCCCCGCAGGCCAGATAGAATGGCCTGGTGGGCTGGATGCAGCCCATGGGCCATATTTTGCCCACCCCTGAAGTAGAGTGAGTAATTAGAATACAAGAGGTAGGAATGCAGGAGGGAGGGGAAGGGAGGAGCAAGGATGCTGGGAGAGGCATACAAAGAAAGAACCCATCAAAACAAAGGGGATCACAACAACTATTCCAGGTCCTGGGATAAAAATCCATAGTCCCTGTTTGAACCATACTTAACACAGTCCAGTTTGTGCATGATTTCTTGTTCCACAATTTCCTGTTCAAACTTAAAAACAAAAACAAAACTCCTGCCTGAGAACAACAGTTCTCTTGAGGCCACCGATGATGTGTTCATGGAGGTTGAAGTGTTCTTCCATAGGCTTTTGTGTCTTTCTGCAGTTGCTGTCAGATTGGTGTTCACTCATTCTTAAACATAGTTTGCCCTGTCTGATACAGACAGCAGCTGGGCATTGTAAGCAGGTGATTTATGTGATGTTGGTAGACTGGCAGGTGAATGAACCTTGGATGTTGTACTCCTTATTTGGTCTAGTGATGATGTGTTCTGTGTTGATGTAGGGGCACAACAAGCATTTGAGCCCATTGTAAAGTCTGGTGTGTTGGTGAGGATGGGAGTTAGTTTGAGATGCACCATTTGAGGTTGTTATAGGAGCTACAGTTGCACCTTTTGTACTGCAATAACTTTCGCATAGTAAATTGTACTTGCCCCATGTAACTTGATCCTGACTACTGTAACTGGAAGAATGTCTCCATGCTGCACCTGCTGTGTCTCAAGGAGTTTGTTTAAAACTGAAATCTAATGTGAAGTGTAGCTATACGGATCACTTTGTAACCCTTCAGATTACAATAGTCTTTCTCCAGCTGTAAAAATGAAGACGGAGTTTGTCAAGCTGCAGTTTTGTACATATTGTCTTAAGGTTTTAGAATTTATCACATAACTTCTATGTTGGCAATCAAATACTAGCAATTTTATTGCGTATTCTGTACCACACATCCAGAGGTGCTGAGATGCAAGCCAAATGGCAATTAAAAATAAACTACTTGACAGAAGAAGTAATAGAGTAAGGAAAGATGTCAAATTCTGTTACTTTATGCTCTTACATTAAGGTATGGGGAGTCTGCTTAATCAGATTCTGCTGACTAGTTGCCCTTTCTGCTGCAAGTCTTCCTTTGCAACATTAACATGCACATTGCATCCAGCTGTGCTGTTTAATTTATGCAGCCATTTAGATCATCTCTGAATTTGGCCCAATGTCTGCAGAATGGATGTTTTTAATTAACAAGAAGTTGGAACATGAAGTTGGTTATAATAATATTGAAGCTTTTTGAGAATTGGAGACTGGAAAAGGGCATGAGCCTTATAGAACAAACTTACCCTGAGCTGCAGGTGACTGAGAGAAAGCTACACTTGTTACAGTTGCTTAGAAGGAAGAGGAATGAAATCTATTTGGCAAGCAATTTTGCATTTTCATTCTTTTTTCCCCCGTATCTTACTAGTGGAGTATGCTCTATTGCATGCCACAACTCATAACAATCTCTTGGTACCAAAGAAGTGGAGCTTAAACCTGCCGAGTGGACACTTCCTTAAACTTTCAAAGAGCAATCAAGGCGTGTCCTTGAAGTGTAAACACAGCTAAGTGGTGTTAAGGTGTTTCAGCGAAGTTCTGGGTAGAATTATCCAGTTTTCTTTCCTAGGCTTTTCTTTTGACAGTCATTTTGCTGAGCAAACTTGGTTTGTAATTTTGGTTATTGATGGAAAGGTTGAGGGAGAGACTTACTCCATTCTTATTTCAGGATTTAATACAAAATTAGGGACATCTTAAAAATATTATGAGTTTTCATTCTTTGATTACAGTCCAGTTCTCAGTCCTAGTTTCTAATATGGAGTATGTGTGTGTGTACTTCTGGTCTGTAGTTCTGAAACAAGCAAAGGAGTAATGACTAAGTCATTTTTTAATGGTGGGCACTTGCACAGCACCCATGTCCAAAGGTTTCAGGGGGATATATATGCAATTTGAGTTAGACTTCAAAGCACTCTTATGAAGTGAGTCTTATTGAACCCCCTGGCACTGTACCTTAGCCAAGTCACTTTTTTCATCTTGGAGAGTAGCAGAGCTGTGGATAAAGTCATCGTTATAAATTCCCTGGTTTAACTGTTCAGTAACATTTTTGATAAAATGACTGGGGCACTTGAAAATGTTATCCTTGACCATGGCATTTTCATCTTACAGTACACATTGCTTGAGACACATTAAAATAAAGTGGGTTAGATAATAGAAGACTAATCTGTACAATTTTAATGTAATCATGTGCTTCCCTCCCCACCCCCCACACTTATGATCTATTCCTATTTAAAGTTTGATTTATTTATTTATTCTTTCCTTTAGGAGAAGCAAAAAATCTTCCTACATATCCGGGGCCAAACAAGATGAGGGATTGCTACTGTACAGTAAACCTGGACCAGGAGGAGGTTTTCAGGACCAAAATAGTGGAGAAGTCACTATGGTAACAGATACTTGTTTGCACATATATTTAGTCTGCTTTTTTTTTAATACCATGGAACATTTCTGTTTTATATGAAGTGTATGTAATCTTCCAGATATACTTATTTTGGTGCAACGAAGAACAGCTTATTGCAGGAATTGGCAATCCCCAGCACGCGTTCCAGAGCATGGCATGCAAAGCCATTTTCTTCTGCATGCCACAGCTGGCAGCAGGTGGCCAGGAAGCTGCAAGCCCTGCTACAAGCAGCCTGGGCCCTGTGGCAGGCAGCAGCTGCCCAGAGCTCAGGCTAGCTGCAGCTGTGAGGCTACAAACAGCTGCATGGGACTTCACAGCTCCGGCCCCAGCTCTGTGGCTGCGGTGACTGCACGTGCACCTCTAGTCGCACAGGCGAGAAGGAGCCCAGGGAAGTGCAACTCTGGCCTCTCCGCCACCCTCCTCCTGGAGGGCACGCATGCAGCCACAGCCATAGAGCTGGTGCCAGGGTTGTGGAGCCCAGCATAGCTGTTTGCAGCCTGCCTGCCACTTGCTGCAGCTGCCCGGTGCAACCCCACTTCTCCTCAGCTGTCTACCCAGAGGCACGCATGTAGCCGCTGCTGACGATGAGGATCGGGCCCTTCCCAGATGCGCTGCCTTTAGCATGCCAAGCTGAGGCATGGGTGGAGGTTGGGTTGTTTTTGGCACTCTGGCCAAAAACATTGCTGACCCTTGGCCTACTGGATTTTTTAATTGTAAGAATAATATAATAGCGTAAATAGAGGCATTATGTCTTGGCTTCTAACAGTCTGTTTTATCTTGTATGTATTTTAAAAAAAAATGGTTCTTGTCCTGAAGCAGAGCATATCAAATCATCTTTAAGAATTTACAGTGCATGCAGCTCTGCCTACTTGTTATGATACTTGTTCAAAACTGACAGCCAAAAAGCAGGACCATTTAATCCAGCTGTCAGGGTTATTACTGCTTACTGTTCTCATGACTTCACAGCTGTTCCTGAAGTGGATCGGAAAATTACAGTGGGGCTCTGCACTGATAGATGTGGCAAGGTTGGATGGTGGGAAAATAGGTGAAAACAGTATTTGTGTGAGGGGGAGAAAGTGGAAAGCAGTTAGTGATAAATTCCCCAGATGGTGATGAGTTCACTGCTTTTCCCTACTTTGTATGTATGCATTAAGCCTCTTAATGCAAATGAAGTGTTTTTTCTGTTCCTGAAATTATTACATCTCTCTGGAATGCTCAGATGAAGAGGAGAGATGAGAAGAGGCTACAAGAGTCGTCCTTTTTCCCTGTGCTCTCAACTTGCTGGGTAGCTTTTTCAGCTGGAGTGGAGGGGATTGTTTTCTCCCAGTAGCTGTCTTAAATGTGGCCATTGTTAGAATCTAACCTGAAATCCTGCCTCTCCTTGAGATTTGAGCATCTGCCTGCAGCTCTGAGCTAGGTGCTCATTCACATCCCCAAACCCTCTTCTGCACTTATACTTCTGACTTTGTGCCGCAGGGTCAGGCTCTTTTCTAGCTTGCTCTCTCTGTGGTATCCTGAATGTGTCCTCCTGTCCTGTCTGTATAGTGGTTCAGCTGCCATAAGGGTGGCAGAGGGTGCCCCCATGCAGCCTGGCCTAGTCTTGTAGTTAGGGCTCTCTCCTGGTATGGGAATGATGCAGGTTTGAACCCTGTAGAGCTTAAGCGAGCTTCGAACTTGGTGTTCTGTTTCCTGGATGACTGCTGTAACTCTTAGACTTGCATAAAAAGTGAATTCCTCCTCATCTGGATGCTTTTGGATGGCAGTGGTCATGTCTGCAGTGCTTTGTGCTGAACTCAGTGCTGTCAGTGTGCATTAAAGTATGTTCCTAATAGATCCGGACACATGGGCAATGAGGATGCCTAGGTCTCGAATGCCTTGTAGCCTTATGCATGAGAGAGGTAGTGAGATGTTTAGTGTAACCAGGTGGCAATACCTTTCTGTATGTGCAGAACTTTAGGGATTCAAGTACTTGAGGTAAAATGCCTAGGTTATTTCAGGTGCCTAAGGGATGAGACTGGTCTGGATTACTGTCCTGGGCTTACCATATTTACTTGAATCCAAGATAAGGTTTCTTCCCCCACCCATTTAACATGGGGTGGAGGAGAAAGCCCCTTGTCTTGGACTTGAACACAAGATGGCAAGAGGGATGGGTGGCTGCAGCAGCTTGGCTTTGACTTACCACTGCCCCTACCCCCTGCAGCACATAGTTGCTTTGGTCCCAGTCCAGTGGCGGTGGAAGAATCTCCAGCCCACGCAACTGCCACTGGGACTGGAGCAACCATGTGCTTTATGCCCCAGGCTGGAGTAGGGTCAGAGCCCTGCCAGAGCTGGAGGATAAGCAGTGGCAGGGAGGGTACAAGCGTGAGTGGGAGAAGTAGTGGGGGGGCAGTCTCCACCTGAGGGGAGCAGGTGCTGGGGCACACAGGCATAGGGAGGGCATGTGGTATGGGGGACAGGCACCATGGGGCAAGGTGAAGGAAGGCAAGGGGCCAGGGTCAGGTTTGTTTGACCGTCCCTCCCATCATGCACCCTTCCCCCTCTATTGCCTGTCTTCTTGCTATTGCTTTCCCTGCTGCACTGGTGGGGCGGGGATTATTTCTCCAATGATTTAATTCTATACATGGAAAAATGACAAATGTTATCATTTTCTATGTATAGAATCCAGTTATTGAAGGGCCATCTTAAATTTGTAGTTGTCTTGCATTTGCATAAATTGGCTAGTCACCTTCATTACTTTTTACAGCTTGCCCTTAAGCACTAATCCACACAGTTTTAAGCTGTCTGTATTTACAATTTTTCTTGCCTTCTTTATTTTTGGTCTTTTCCCAGTGCAAGTCAGATATGGGATAATGGCAGGTGGAGGAGCCAGATGCATAGCGGAGCTTTTTGACCACTGGTGGCTACATGTAATTAGGATAATCGGGTCTTATTTCTGAAGTTGATGATTTGTTCTTACCTTAATTGAAAACGTATCTAGTTGAAGCTTGAAATCAGTTCTGTTTGAAGTAGTTTGGTAATTGTCACTCAGATCCAGTCTCATTCCAGTTTGTGAAACAGTGTTGCTCAGAACCAAAAGTTACATACTCTTCTTCTGTCACAGAAGGGTTTGTGATCTTAGTTTAGACTTCATTTCACTAAAGTAATTCAGTAATTTTCCACTGAAAAAAATCCTATAAAATAAAAATAGGTTTGAGGAATAAATAAGAAAAAGAAGCTTTCCTTGGGGAAAATGCCATCTGTTTTTATCTTAAAATGGTGCACTGAAGCCATTCTGAACAGTTGCTGTTCTCCTGGAGAGTGATAGGTCTTCCATTCTGTAGTGCTGAGCAGGGAATTTCTCCTCCCTTGTTAGCTTTTGAGTCCTCTTTCTTCCCTTGACCTTTATTCCTAGGTAGTCTGTCCTCTACCTTGAGGCTTTTGTCTCTGCAAGGGTAAGTAAGGATAAATTTAAATTTTCTAGGAACATTTCTTCCTCTGGGCTTTTGGCTCGGGGGAGTTGGGTGGGGGAGAGGTGAGGGAATGTGCAGTAATTTCCTGGGAACTTAACTTCAACTTTTGTGCCACCAGCTTCTAGGTACTGCTACCAGTTGCATTTCTTTCTTAGTCCCAAATGAAAATTCAGGATGGGAAGGGTTAGGTTTGTCTCTAGAGTCTCTCTTTATTTGGGGAAATTATCTGTTATCTTAGTTAACTTTGTGAAGAGTGCACAGAATATATATAGCCTTTAACCAGATTGTATTTCAAGATGTAGTAAAACAAGCACACAGGCTCATAAGGAGATTTATTTTTTCCAAGTGCTTTTCAGACAGTGCTGTGCTATCTTATTATTCCTTTTGGGCTCCAACTCATAAATTACCTGGTCATCTCCAGCCACTTGTATTATTGCATTCTTTGCTGCTGGTTTAAATCAAATTAATTTACTAAGTAGCTGTAAATTACCAAGCAGGCCAGGTTAGTGTGCCCTGAGGGCCTATGTACATCCCTCCAATGCAATACTAAACACAGCAGTATGTGTTTTCTTGTGTATAGTCTCCTGCCTTGGAACTCTTTGGTGTAATAACCAAGCGTGGGCTTGATCCCCCTATTGTGTACATCACTGTTATGATATATGGCATGAGCTATTAGGATAAGGACATAAAGTAAAGCTGCAAAAGTAGACGTGCTGAGAAATCAGTTGGATTTGATGTACTGACTGCAGTTGTAGGTGAGAGAAGCAGAAAGTGGCAGCTCTGCAGTTGTAGGTTCCTGATTCTCAATTTCTAATGCATTTAGGATTCCTGTCAGAACTTGGATAATCCCAAAGTAATAGGAACTTTGAACTCATGGAAGCAAAATACAGAAATTATGTATTTCCTCACTCTTATTGACAATTTAAATGTACCAATTAAGGTTTTTTTAACTTTTTAAAAATAAAAGTTCTTAATCTTGTTTTTAGCACATTGAGAGTTGCTGGTGAGAAATCTCCTATTTCATACCTGATTTGGCATTATTTTTTTCCATTAAATGTGTAAATATATGAACAGGTAGTTGCATGCACATGTGTGTGTAGAAAATTGAAATGCCGTATTTACTCAAATACAACATGATGTCCCCCCTGCAACTGGCATAGGCAGAAAAAGACTCTTGTCTTTATAAATGTATACATGGAAACCTCATTAAATACATGATTTATCATTAAACTGTTGCCATTAGCCTCCTTCCTCTAGCTGGTCCCTTAGCCAAGGCCTACTGTCCTGGACTTGACTTCTGGGCTCCATCCCCTTATCCTGCCCTCTGGGGCCTTTCTCTCTGCCCCGCTCAGGCTGTGGGATCCCTGGCCCTGTTTACCTCCCACAGGCCCTTAAGTCTGTGCCCTTCTTGGACTCCTGTCCCTCTCTGGGCTTTCTCCTTCCTTCTTGGGCTCCAGGCTCACTGGTACCAAGCTCTGCCCCTCTCTGGGTTCCCTCCTTCTCAGACCACACCCTTTCTGCTGGCCCACAACCTAA